TCATCATCATCATCATCATCATCATCATCATCATCATCATCATCATCATCATCTCTGTCTCTCTCTTTGTGTCTCTCTGTCTCTCTCTCTGTCTCTCTTTGTGTCTCTCTCTCACCCTCTCTCTCTTCTATTATAAGGCTGATATACTATCGGCCTATCTGTCAGTCTGTCTCTAGATCTTTTTCTCTCTCACTCTTCTTCCTCTTTTTGTATGTACAGGGTGATCCAAAAAAGCTTTACAACTTGTTTTGTAAATATCTTCCTCCATACTGAAGTTTTGCGTTTCAGATTTGAACATAACGTTTGGAAGCCAAAAGGATTTTTTCTGATATGCATTTTAGATAAGTCCATTAAATGGTTTTGCTCTATAGAGTGCATTAAAAATAACAACCATTTTTAACCTTATCGCCATTTTCATACCATGACGCACCAGTTCACATAAGGCCTACCACAAAAAGTTTCAAAAATCGCGCCATTTTGCAAGCTACAGCAGTCTAACAAGTAAACAGACGTCTGCAGATATTCTTTACCTCAAATTTTGTTTGCCTGCTGAGATCATGGCTACGTTTAGTAGAGAGCAGAGAGCTTTTTATATGGAACATTACCTCTCCACAAACTCACCATCCCTGACAGTTCGTAAGTTCTGCTCACGGCATAGAGAGAATGCTTAGGTGCCCTCAAGACCTTTGGCGTCATGAGTAGAGAAGTTTCGTCAGTTTGGATCTATAGCGAATCAGAACTAGAAAGTTCTTTAAAAAATGACCACTTCAGGTCGAACACGCACCATGCGGAGCCCTTTAAACGTCACCAGAGTGCAGATTTCAGTAGCCGAATCCCATGAGACGTCTGTCCGTAGACGATCTGCAGCTAGGACTTTCCTACACATCAACAATCTGCATTCTCATGGCAGATCTTAAACTTCGGCTATAGCATGTTCATCTTCGCTAGGCCGAGATGACATGGATCAGAGCATGGCAATGTGTTCAGATTCCTCGATTGTCTTGTAAAGAGGGATCATTTCCTCGACGACATTTGGTTTAGTGCAAAACCCATTTTCACCCTGCAGGATATCTTAACTCCAAAAAATGTTGTCTATTGGGCTATTGTCTCTAGAAGCCACTTCTTAGTGAGCATGTATGTGGCTTTAAAAACTCATGGTTTAGCAGGTCCTTGTGTTAGGGCGCCACTGAACATTTCGAACGACGGGTTAAAAATGTGTCGAGTCCAAAGGAGGGAATGTGGAGCACTGCTTCTAGGAATTTCAGAATGAAATCATTAGATTTTTAAAACTCTGTAAAAGAAATTAAATAATGATTAAATATCACAGGGTTGGAAAATTAATGTCCAAGAAAAAATAAAGAAAAAGGACAACTAATCTTTTCACGACTTCCTTTACGAGATTTTAAAACATTGGCGAACTTTGCATTTTGGGGTGCTTTTTTCTTGTAGCCGTTTCCGTTTTCAAAACATGTTTCTTCTTCAAGGATTTTATATCAAACAAATTGCTTTTGAATGAATTATGTCTGTTCCAAATTACAGCATTCTAGAACAATTTTTGCACGAGATATTCCGAAAAAAAGTTGTAAAGTTTTTTTGGGATCACTCTGTATCTTCACGACTTAACTATTCTCCTTCCTTACTTGTTGCATAAAAAAAAAAATTACAAAAAAATTCTGTTTCTTTTGCAATATTCAGTTCGGT